GCAGAATTGTTCGAGAAACCGCTTTTGTGTCGGAGCACACGTGCAGCGTTAACTTCTTCTAAATTGGGAGTAATTGGCTCTCAGACCTGCCAGATTGGAGATCTGATGTAATTTAGCCAGCCCGATTCTTTCCAAGTGATCTCTGTGGGGTGTCTGGAGCTCTGGCTTCTTGGGCCAGTCTCTAGTTTTCCAACTTCCCTCTTCCAGGCCTTGAAAAGTGTGTCCAGTTCTCTTAACTGGGATTCCCAAAGCGGCAAATTTCACTAGGTATTTTCTGAGACTATCCATGCCTTCTTCTTTTTGGGTGCACCGAGCCCTGTCTCCCTTTCAGTTGTTCTTTAAACGTTGCAGCCGCAGCACTTCCGTATGTAGGCAGGAACGCGCAAAAAATACGGTGCAATAAAACAGCTGTCCTCTGCTTATGGTTTTCGTGGTGCTGGACTTCTATGAAATGGATAAGTTGGCTACAGAAGGGAAATGGGGATCACATGCTTATCATTTAAACGATTTGGCTCTTCATATCAGTCCTGCCAGCCTTGGCAAGGGGAAGAAATGGGACACCTAGAAAGGCTTGATAGCAGCATGCCATCCTTTGTCTGCTGAAGGGCCACGCTGGTAATGTGCTGGTGGCTTGAAGACCCGTCTGTACTGTGCAGCCGCCCGGCTTTCGCGGAGACCCACTGGCGTTTCAGGCCAGAGCCTGCGGTTTGCCCTGTCCACGAGCCTTCGGGTTTGGCGGCCGTGCCTCTTGCCCTAGAGAGGAGGGCAGCTGTTGTCTGCGGGCTGGGGGACACCAGATGAACGTGGTAGTTCTTGCTGTCAGCAGTAACCAGCCGTGAAGCAGAGGCCGAGTTTTGGATTATCTTCTGTGTCAGGATGCAGAAGAGCGTGAAAGGCATTAGCTAGATGTTAGCTTTAACAGTGTTCCCCACTTACATGACCTGCTTTTTTAATTTTTTTTTTTTTTGCAAAGCTGTTTTCCTTGTTTTGAGGTTTAATAGTGATCTTCCCCGGCAGTGAATGAAAGGGCCTAGGCACAGAGCATACTGTCCTGCTTGGACAGGCCAAGCCTTTGCTGGGTTTCCTTATAGGTGTCTTTCCTTCCTGGAAATCCAGCTGTCCCTCTCTTCCCTCCACACGCTTGCTTGCAGGTCACCGTGTCTGTTAGTGCAGGATCGGGGCCCTCTGTTTTTGCTGCTGTTTTGTCTGTTAAACACAGCCATTGCCTCTAAGCCTGTTGTGTGTAGCAGGCAGTGCAAGGTGGCACCTTATAGACTAACTCATTCAGAGACCTGAGCTTTCATAGGATGACTTTGTCGGACACTGTGCTGTTTTGTGTTGCAAAATGAGCCGTGAGACAGGGCGGCGAGCATGGTGCATTTGTACTTGTTCTCAGGATACTAACCGGCAGGACACGGTTTAGTGCTACTAGCCATCCTTCTGGGTTGTGCCATAGGACTGTGAACGTGTGGCTGTGGGGACAGAGGAATCTGTTGCTTCGTGTGTTAAGACTAGCACTTTGAGGCAAAACAGCCTGGGCTGTGAGGATGCGCACATCATTTTGCTGTATCATCACTGCTGTAATAGAGTAAGTGCAAAACTTCTCCCATCGCTGGTGGCCATCTCTCTCATTGGGGTGCAGTTACTGTTTAAGTCGGAGAATTTCAGATTAGAAACTTGCCTCCCAGGCATGGATCCCAAGTGCTTCAGGCAAACAGTCTGGTATCTGGTGGTGAGTAGCCCAGGGTCCCTGGAAGGGAGGAGGGAACGCCAGACTTTTCCTGTCCCTATTGTCCTCCATGGTCAGAGAAGATGTGGTTTACTTCTAACAGCTGGTTGTGTGAGACCATAGCAGTTCCTAACCTTCCTGTAGTCCAGCTGGGAGGTTTGGTCCCAACCTGCCCCACTTTAGAGGTGGAGATTTGTCACGGGTGGTCCGACTTGCTTGAAGGGAATTCGTTGGAAAAAATGGCTCGATGCGAGCGAAGCTTCTGCCCCTCGAGGTCTGCTGCTTGCCCTTCACGGAAGCTGGCTCGAGCGGTCGGAGTTAGATGTCCCCACAGATGAGAGTTGCATCCGTTTCTCTAATGGTGCAACCTCAGGATGAGGTGCAGGGTTTGTAAGGCCGCTTTTTTTTTTTTTTTTTGCCTTGTGTGTGAAATTGGGGATCAGTTCAAAGTCATTTGAAATCAGCCAGCAGGTGCTGGGTGTGGGGTCTGGGTGGCAGTCGATCATTCATCATTAGTCTCCCTCGGTGTTTCCTTCACGGTCAGTCTGCGTCCAGCACTAGGTCAGGCTGGCTATCACTTTGCATTTTCCACTGTTGTGCTTCCCCCGGGTGAAACCCAAGGAGGCCTGTCTGGTGCTAGCCAGCCCTTTACAGCCAGCACAGTGTTTGGAAGGGTGCTCCAGGTAGAGGCGGCTCGCATGGCTGCAGAAGGTGCTTGCAGAACTGCCGCCTTAGTGTCCCCGGGAGAGGTGAAGTGTGTCGCAAAAGCTCTTTCGTAATTTGGTTTTGAGCAAATAACTGTCTTTTAGGAGCCGTAACCTTGGTAGGCAGATCTTGGAAACCTCTGAGGGGTAAATCAGCCGCCCTTCCTCACTTAGCAGTTGGCTTCCTCTGCTTGCAACCAAGACTGAGACGGAGCTGCTGCCTGCAGCGCAGGGGAGCTTTTTATCCACGAAACCAAGCCCAGCACATGCGTGTGGCTCCTGTGTGTCGTGTGCTGCGTGCCACATAACTGGTTACAGCTTCTTCACCTGTTCCATAACTACAGAGAATTAATTTGCTCAAAAGGTCAAATAACATTATTGCCTGGGCTTATTAGGCTGCAGTTGTGCTGCTTTCCCTGTTACTCAAGGCCTAATTATTTTGCATCGTATTTTTGAGCGGTATGTTGACTTCTTCTGTCCTGAAGAACCAAATAGGAGGCCCCTCCTAGTAAACCCAGATTGTTTTTGGCTTTAGAAAAGCCCTGTAAGTAGAGGTGCCAAAATTAGTACTTTGTAGGTTAGACGCTTGAGACCTTCCAGCGGGGCTGAACACTGTCAAGTGTCGGCAGAGGCAGGTATTAATTTTCCAGTTTTTCATTTCTCAGTTGGCGCACAGCTGTGCCATTTTAAAATGTCAGTTTAGCCATGGCAACAGTTTGAAAGCAAACTATTGCTTGAGATGAAAATACAGAGATTTTTTCATCAACACGTTACTAATTACATTGCATCCGTGAAGCGTGGGTCCCTCCTTAACCTACCAGAGGCTGTTTGACTGTCGTCGCGACATCCTTGCCTTATAACCTTGCCTTGTCTCTCTGTTGTTGCAGTGTGCGGAGGAGTGAATGCCCCATGTTGTGTTAGTGCCTGTCTGCCATGCTGGCCTGTCTGCCAGGACCAGGCGACCTCTCCTTTCAGCTTCTTTCTTACATGCAGATGAACACTGGACTTCAGAAATGTGAGTGACGTTTTGCCTGCAGGATTTGGTTCATTGTTAAATCTGGCACTGGTACAGCTGCACATTTAGGGGGCAGTGGAAAAACTGTTTAATATTAGAGTCTTTATGTTTTGTCATGCCTTCCAGGCACCCATCGATGATGGCTGTGGGAAGGAGCGCTACTAAAGTTCGAGCATTAGCAGCAAGCTCCCTCCCCCTGCCTCCCCACGCCTTACTTCAGAGAGGTTAATTTTAACCGTAGCAAGGCAGCATGCAAAACAGTCTTCCATTTACATTCCTGTCTCTCTGCTAAAAGCGTTTTGCAGCAAAAGCGTGTGTTGACCCGACTCTGAATGCATGTTCCGATTCATTTTCACTAAATTAAATAGAAGAGCAGACGCCAGTGGAAATTAGGCTGCACTTAATGGAGATCTGGTGAGGTTCGCTCTGTTGCTATAAGGTGCATCACTTATAACACGTGTTCCTAATGTATACAGCCACAGTTTCTAGTGATCAGTCTTGCTGTTGCTTCCTTCTGTCTCCTCTAAGTTTCTGAAAATACTTTGATGTATGGGAGGTGCGGTGATAGACACCTGCACTTCCAGTTGCCTCATTCGTTCCTGTGGTATTTCAGGTAAACCTTGGATTTGGGAATAGGCGTTCGGTTATTAAAGAGATGTTTCAAGCTACCCCATCTGCTCTGTTTGCCAGCCTCCGGAGACTGCTCAGGTCGTGCATCTGATTCTACACTGGGGATAGCAAATAGGAAGTTGTTCAGGAAGCCCAAAGTGCAGCACAGGCTTGATCTCCATGCAGAAGCTAACTTTATCTTGTCCAAAGTATCTTAAACTTAAATGTAAGGAAAACCCTGTGCCTTCAGTTAACCATGGTTGGACTCGTTATCGCCTTTCAAAATCAAGCAATGTACGCTCCAATTATAGTCCAGCTGTTGACCTGTTAGGGTTCGTGATGTGCTCCTCAAATCTAGCATGAAATGTTGGGAGGGAAAGAAATAGTCTCCAGGTTCGGCAGCTGCCAGAAGAAAGCACGTTTCTGGAGCACGAGTGCGTGTTTTGCATTTCAGTACTTAAGTGGCATTTGTCCGAACGTGCCTCCAGCGTGCGCTGTGACTGCCGTGGCAATAGCAACAAGAGAAAGTGTCCGGAAAGGGGCATCCACGTGTGGCACGAAAGTAGCTAAAAGCGACTGGCGCTCTCCCTTTCCTCACTTCAGTGACTTCCTAGTCCTGGTAGTGCCGGCCAAAATGTGTGTACAGCTAATTGCTCAGAGGGCAGCACCTGTATGGCAGCTTCGTACAAAAGAAGCCTGGAGAGCTTTCCTTACCTGGTGGTCGTGTTAGAGCAAGGGAAAGCTTGTTGATCAGTCGAATCCTCTATCTTGGTTGTGTCGAGATGGGGTGCGTGGCTTCTGTACTGCATTGGTTCTGTATTGGGCAGGGTAGCTTGCTTAACCTAGCAGCAGCTCTGAGCCTGGTGCTGCTGGCTGGTTCCAGGCCCTGCTAAACCCTGGATGGGAAGCGTGCCGTATCTCTTTGAGTGAGGAGCTTAGGGGCTGGGTGTTGAACAAATTTGGGACAACTGGCAAGGCACTTGCTGGTGGAAATTCTTAGCAGGTCCGGCTCACTCTGATTTACATTGAAAATCAAACTGCTCCTACAGACCTCGCCCCCTCCTCCTGCAGATATGTGTAAGATTAATTGGGTGCCTTTCTCGACATATAGTGTATGCATAAGCACTTTAGCCCCTGGCCAAAGGAAAGCTGGGTTAATGAGTGTTTCTAATGAACACCTACTTGTGATTCCTTTATTTTGGGGGTGGCTGCGGCGGAGAGTTTGAAATAGCGCTGTGCTTTTTATAGAAGCCACATTGCTGTACCTGATAACCTGTATTAAAATAACACCCCCCTCCCTCCAAAGCCAGCAGTAGCTTTCTGGATCCGTGTTCTACTTAAAGCTCCACATGCATTGGTTTCCTTCTTCCCCGTGCAGCCTCAAGCAGAGGGATTTTTTCCAAGGATGCTCTTTGGAAGAACAGGTTTCTGGAAGCGACTTGTTAATATTTTTACTTCGATAAAGATGTTTTTCACAGACTTTGAGGAAAAGGCCTGATTGTTCACCCCCTGCCATTTCAAGGGTAAGGAGAGAGAGCCTGCCATGTCCTTAGCTGCGTATGAGTGCGACCATCGGTCTTTATCTGCATTGCTCCCTCCCTTGCCTCCGCCACTTGATGATTCTGCTGAAGACTCGAAATATTTGAGCAGTTTTCTTATCTACCCTGGGTGCAAGCCAGGCGTATGAGGACCTTAGGGTTCGATACAGTAGTGGTGAAGCCACAGTAAAGACCAAGTGTGGTCTGTGAGTTGCTGGGCTACAAGACAAACCCATGGGCAAAAATTAACTCCTGCCCAAGGCTGGAGAAGTCTTTCATTAAACCTGCAGAGAGATTGCTGCAGCCGAGAGCTTTACCTAGGGATTGGTGTAGCTCTTCCTTGTTTGTCTGAACCAAAATGCTTTGATTATTGTAATGATCCTTAAGGCCTGTTATACTTTAATGACTTTTAATGAAAATTTAACCATAAGTAGCTTACAAAGCTGTGGTTTTTAAAGCCGTACTGCGAAATGCACTTAAGAAAAGATGTAACATCAGTGCTGCAACGAAGCAGAGAAACATGCCGCTGCTAACGAGAGGGTATCTGCTATGGGAAAATGTACATCTAATCGTTGTATGGCCTGGCATCAAGTTCCAGCACTGGTCGCAAGCGATGGGGATGTCAGACGCAAATGCACATCTTGTGTATATCCATCCTTGATGTTTTCTTCTTGCCACAGTCCACTGAACTAAGGCATCGTTTTTCTGCCCTACTTAATCCTCCTGGCTGTTGCATTGCCGTCTTGGGACCCTTGCACTGACTCTTCAGGATCTCTGGTCACCTGCAAATTCCTGTGGCATCACCTTTACGTTTGATACCAGGTTTTCTGTGTTGCTGTCCAGACTGATGAAATGACTGAGTCTGGTGGAAGCACTGGTGAAACGTAAGGCTGCCTTGCACTAAGGTGCGAGAGCCTTGGGAGGGGGGGTGTTCTCCTGATGGAGCCCGTGTAAATGGAACGAGCGATTGAGCTGTTTCAGGGCAAAAGGGGCGTCTCATTTGGAGACAAGAATCGCCAAGAAAAGGTGGGAGGCATTTTTATAGAAAGGGAGAGGGGCAAATTTCATAGAGGGGTCTGAAAGGTGCTTTATTAATCAATTTAAGATTGGACCTGGAGTTCCTTTTTGGTGCACATTTTCACTTGAATGGAGGGCTTGTTTTAACCCTTAAGGGCAACCTTGGATTTGAAGTAAGGAACCCTTTCAAGTTCACCATTATGGATGTCCATAGCTGATAGATTTGCCCCGTTCAGTCATGTTTTGACATGCATCTTTGTGAATATTTGAACTGCTTCCTGATGGGAATTGCAATGCTTTGTATCAAAATGCAACCCCAGGACCCTGGCTGTTGGGAAGGTGGTCTTATCTAGGTGATGAAGTACCTGGCATACTTAGTCACTGGCGACATTTGCTGTCTGGTTTGATGTTAGAACACCCAGACGTGAGCAAATAAAGAGAAGGAGTGTTAAATGGGAGCTGTTGGACGTGGACCTTGATCCACCGAGGTCTGAGCTCCCTTCAGTGTGGCCAGTAGCTGCTGTTCATCAGCACAGCGCCCCTGGAAACGCAAGGGGCGTTCTTGGGGGAGCAGGCAGAGAGCATAAGGGGTTGTGGGAGCTTGCTGCAGAAAAGGGATGACAGGTGGCCAGGCATGGCGGCATCCCTGAGCCGAATTCGGGCTTCCTGACGATTAGCAGCCCCCGGCTCAGTCCAGGAGGAAGAGAGCCTGGCTGGCAGGGTGGGAGCAGGAATTGAGAATAAAGGGTGTTTGGGTTAATACCTCAGCAAACGACCAGTTCCTCTACTCGGTAGGGAAGGCATCAGATGCAACGCTTGGACAGCATGGTGAGAGGCCCCTTAACTCTGGCACTGGCTGCATACGTGCCGTGCTAGAGAGAGAGGATGCTTTTGCTTATAAAGCCACCCTCTGCACGCTCTTACTGCGGTTCTTTTTGGTGTCCTTCCCCCTTTCCCTCGCATTGCCTTTGACTTCCTGTAGCTTACTCGTGGGAGCTGTGACTTCTCTGCGGTCGTGGCAGCTAGGCCACAGGTTCTCGAGTGGGAGCTGGACCATGCTGCTGAGGCTTTACCTGCTCTTGGTAGATATCTTCTTTTAAGCCAAGGGTTTCTTGGAGGCCTAGGATGAAGGCCAGCGAGGGCCAAGTGTGCCACTTCCAGGGACGTCAGCCGCAGCACCCTGCCTTGTGAGCGCAGCAGGGAAGCCATAGGAGTCGGGGGGGGGGGGGCCAAGCACTGGGCTGT